CTAATAACTATGGTGTGGATATCTAGGCTCTGTTTGAATATCCTCACTGATGGGGAAGTCATTATCTTGCCAGACAGCTGATTCATTTGTTAGATAGCTTGAATTTCCAAGAATGTATCCCTTTTATTAAACCCAAGGATGAGTAGGCATGACTATAGCTTCTACTTATGGGCACTGGTTATTCCATTTAGGTTTATAAAAAGTAACTAGATTCCCTATTCTCCTTGAAAGCTGTGTAAACCAATGCAGAGATAGCTACGAAGTTCCTTTATGGAAACAATTCCAGCATCGTGAGTCAGGTCAGTGACATGGGGAAGTTCTCAGTGTCAGGAGGACCTTCTGAGTACAAATTAAAGGCTTACCTCTTCCCTGCAAATGATGAAGTTGAAAACATAACAGGTCTTCCTTTCACACTTGGGTACAGGCTCCTTCAGAAGGCATAGTTCTACGCCTTCCACAAAGGCAAACTTTCAGAAAGGTCTTAAGACACTCTTAAGAGTGTCATCATCATAAGAGACATTGTCTTTAAGGACTCTCCCCTTTACCCAGAAACATGAAGGTCCTGCATAACCAAGAAAAACAAACTTTTTTTTGAGAATGTGACCCAGAGATATGTATTGAAAATATTCCTTGCTCATCATTGTGCTAGTGTGAATGGTGGTGGTGGAGCAAAAACAGAGATAAAAGGAGAGCCAGTAGGAGACCTATTCTAGAATTTAGTTGGGGACTTAATTTAAGTGGTTTTGCATGTCATACCTAGAAGCTTGGCTGTTAACTTTCAGCAAAGAGTAGCCACTGGAGACTGGTAAGCATGACTGCAGCACGCTATAGAAAGATTTCCCTGGTGGCACAGTAAAGCATTAATTGGTGGGAGACAAGATTTGTGGGAAGCCAAGTAGTCAGAAGTGATAAACAAGAGAAGGAGATGGTGTCAGTGGGGATGTACAGGACAAGGTTCAAGCCAAAGGGGGTAGAATCAATAGGATTTAGAGACTGAATGTGGAGGATAAGGGAGAGGAACAAATAGAACATGATTCTCAGGTTTCTGGCTTGGGCAAAGGGGCAGATGGTGGAGTCATTCACAAAAGAAGGGAACAACACAAGAGGAAGAGCACGTTTAGGTTACTGGGGGTGATGAGTTCTGTTTGGGGCAGGTAAATGTGAGTGCCTCTAGATCGTGACAACACAGATGTCTCACAGGAAGTTGGAGGTAAGTGGATCTGGCTCTCAAGAGGGAGGGGGCAGGAAGTGTAGATTTTGGAGTCATCAGGATGTGGGTAGTAGCTGAATCATGGACAGTATGAATTTCATTCTATCATTGATTCATGTACTCATTAATCTGTCCGTGAAACTAATACCTATTGCTTACTTTGTACGAGTAACACTATATGGGTAGCTGGAATGTTTATGCAGCAGTGAACAATGGACAAAGTTCTGGGATCAGGGAACTTACAATCTAGTGGAAAGAAGACCTAGAATAAAAAAGAAAATACCATACAATGCCAGATAATATTAGTACTCTCAAGAAAAATAAAGGACAGTAAGGAAATAGTGTTAAGGGATCCGAGAATTCCTCTCAGAAGAGCTACAGCTGAACAGATGTAGCCTAACAGGAGAGAGAATAAGAGAGTGTAACCCATGAGAAGACAGGAAGGAGGAAGTCCTCTGTGGAAGGACATGGATGGGCAAAGGCCCTGGGGTAGAAGCCTGTCAGACCTGCTTGAGAAACACCAGGGATCTTCAAGGAGAGTGTGCAGCATAAGAACGAACAAGGACCAAGAGCAAGGACAGAACTATGGAGCCCATCAACCTTCCAAATGAGAGCAAAGAAAGGAAACTAAGGAGGACTGATTAGAATTATAGAAGGAAGGGGATGATTTTGTATTCTGTGGATTTAACACCACAGTTTGATAGTTCTCTTCCCAAATATCCACCATCCCTATTTATAATGGTGCTTACAGGGGCACCTGGGTGGCTCAGTCATAAAGCGGCCCCCTTCCGCTCAGGTCATGATCCCAGGATCCTGGTATCAAGCCCCGCATCAGGCTCCCTGCTTGATGGGAAGCTTGCTTCTCCCTCTCCCACTCCCTCTGCTTGTGTTTCCTTTCTCACTGTGTCTCTCTGTGTCAAATGAATAAATAAAATCTTTAAAAAAAATAATGGTGCTTATACGTGTAGCAGTAGAATAAGCCAAGAACTCATCTCTCCCTTACTCGTTGCTTAGCTACAGAGGTCTTCCTATAGTTTGGTGAAGGCCTGCTTCAGAGACTTTCCATGTTTTGCTGCCTCTCACCAGAAGTTCTGGGGAAGGGGTGGGGTGGAGACCAACTTCTCCTTCAACTTCAGGATTCCACCCAATGGTGACTTCCTCAGGGAAGCTTTACCTCAAGCCTGGAGACAAAGATTGGATCTCCAGTTATTCACTCCTAAAGTCATTTGTTCTCCTTTGGGCCTAAAGACTTGTTTGTTTCATGTTCATCTCCTCCTCAGCAATGAACTTGATGAGGGTGGAAAGCACAGCTGTGCTGTTCAACCCCTGAAGCTTTTGTAGCATGAGATACAAAGTACATGCAGGGATCACTCTATGTGCCCTCACCCTACAGACAGAGTGTACCAATGACTCTGAGGATCAGTTACTCCCAGAGCAGGACCCAGAAACCTTTCCTCTACCTCTTCATATGTGGAAAACATCTCTTCAGTCCCACTGATCCTCAGAGCAGAAATTCAAAAGAAAAGGACTATGAGTTTAATTTAGATTCAGTCCTGATGATATTTGAATGTTTCCTTTTGGTCCACTACTTCTTTAGCAAAATAAGTGAGTTCAAAATGGTTTATTATTTTTTGAATAAGTAGAAAGAAATATTTGTTCTGGCTGCCATTCTATTAAAAAAGAAGGGGAGAATGTTTAGTTTTGGTCTGCCATCATCAACTTCTTGTCATTTACCCTCATTTTTGTACATCATTTTATTTATTTAAATGCTCAATTTTAAAGAGAAAAACTGGACCCCAAACATTGGATATAATTGAGGGACTGGATAATGTCTTTGGTAGCAATCTTTTCTGAGATTGAGAATCCTGGTTTTCATTTAATTCTCTCTCTTTCTCTTTCTTTTTTTTTAAAGCTTCAAGTACGGACCTTGAGAGCTTGTTTGAGGTTCTAGTGAGGAGCCCAGCTATTCCTATACCCTTGATGGGAGAATCCTCTATCTGGGTAAGTGGTCCTCTTCCCCCCAGCATATTGCTTGGGGAGAGATGTGTGGGGCGGTGATGGAGGAAGCGGACACCGGCCTAGGCAGCCAGATCAGGCAAATCAACCCTGGCGATCAGTGGAACACAACAGATGTCCCAGCCAGATCACCCTCACATCCCATTTAATTCTCTTTGACCTTAAATATCCCAGGGATTGGTCCTAAAACCCATTAACTTTATTTGGATTACATAAACATTATTAACCACAGCTATTCTACCAGCCATATGTGTTCAGGGTTTTTGTTCAGGTCATTACTTTACATAGACTCAGGCTACGTGCATCACCGCCAATTGACACAGGCTTTTTTCCTTCCCTTTCCTTCCCTACACTACCCTTCCCTTCCCTTCCCTTTCTTTTCTTTTCTTTCTTTCTTTCTTTCTTTTGGTTATTCTACAAAGAACAGTTAACACAATATTCAAGTGTCAGAACTTTTATGAATAGCCAAGTTTGATATTAATGGCCAAAAATATGCTGATGAAAGGTATCTTATCCTTTTATTGAATCCAAAAGCATTCGTTTTTGCTTATACCCACCTATTTTCCAGAGGATCTTCTCCGTGTAAGAATGTAAAGCTTATTTATTTAATTGAATCCAAAAGCATTCGTTTTTGCTTATACCCACCTATTTTCCAGAGGATCTTCTCCGTGTAAGAATGTAAAGCTTATTTATTTAATAATGTTATGCATACATTGAACTGTATTCTCAGAAGGACCTGGAAGTTATACAAATAAATGTTCACGGTATAATATTAATTATAGATGTTTTCAGTTTTCTTCTGTTTAACTATATTCTCTGAGATTTCTGCAATGAAGACATATTGTGTATGTGAGAAAAATAAAATTACATTTGCAAAAGAAATAGAAGTTACCTTTGAAAATGTATTTTGTCCTAGATTTTAAAATGTATCCCAATTGATCACTAGAATTATATGGTCAACAAAGACCGATATATATTTTTAGCCAAGAAGATTTGATAATTAAATATACTTCTAGGACCTGTGGGATTTTATCAACTATTAAGATGGTAACAATGGGGCTGAGTTACCTTTTTAGACTACTGAGCTCTTGTCCTAACTTCACTGAATATCATCTTTGTTTTATTGGAAGGGATGGAGGAGATGCTATAACAGCAAATTCTGCCCAGTGGAGAATAAGTAAGTTGATCTATAATGCTTAGTCAGAGTGATACCAGCATGGACAGGAGCTATGCAAGTGATTTGCTAGCAAGGTACTAATGATCCATGATGAAAGAGGAATGTCCATGCTACCTCCTAATTAAGACAGGATTACTTTAAAAGAACAAAGAAACAAGTTGCTCTGTGCTCTTCTAAGAGGTCATCATAAGGAGCCAAGGAGATGATGAGTCTGAGCCCTACCTCTCAGGACAGTTTCCCAGCCTGTGGAAAAAGGACTCTGGCCAGTATCTGAATGGTTTCTGTGGGTTGGCCTGGACAGAACTCACTTTTCCCAGCAACGTGAATGCAAAACTGGCTTAGCTTCGGAAATGGCTAAATTCATCAATTTACTCACTTATTCATTTATTTAGACAAATAACTTTTGAGTACCAGAGCACCAACTATGTGCCAGAGGATGTTCTAGGTGCTGGGGACATTGGAATGAAAGAAAAGCCTAAGACCCTCCTCTAATGAAGCATACGTTTTAATGGAGAACACAGAGAACAAACAAACATAAACAAAAACATAAGGCCAGGTATTGTTTGGGATCATAAATAAATAAATTAAACTGAACAAAATGATAGAGAATGCCAGAGTTTCCCCCATCCAGTAAGGTGTCCAGGGACAGTCTCTCTGGGGAGGCAACAGTTGAATGACTGGAGGAGATAGGTTTGTGAGTAGAGCATTCTAGGCAGCAGTAACAGCAAGTGGGAAGACCCTGAAATAGAAACATTTTGGAGGGACTGCAAGGGCGTAGTGTGGACCATGTGTGGTGAACAAGGGTAAAACAGGGTGGCCTGGGGATAGAAGAGGGATGGTCTTGCACATCATGGTAAGGATTTTGGATTTTACAGTGTGATTTAAAGTTGCTGGAGGGTTAAAACACAAAATATGGATCTTACCATAATAATTGTTTGACTCTGTTGAGACATAGGGGCAGGAAGTGTTCATGTGTGTGCAGCGAGATAGAGGAGGTGGTGTGGGCAGGCTAACTCCACACATTTCATAAGAAATTGCAGCAGTGCCCAGACCTTGGAAAACAATTGAGAAACAGTACAAGAAAATTATTTAGAATTAAAGACATGAATATTTTTGAAAAAGATAAAAGAATTCAATGTGATGACTTGGAGAGTGGAAAATTGAGAAAGAATGAAAAGAATTGGGAAAGAATGAAAAAAATGGAGGGCTTTCTGGCTCTCAAATCTATGCATGTGTGTAAAGGCGATCTTAAAAACTTAAAAAAAACTTTTTAAAAATATGCAAAATGCAGAATGATAATATGAAAAGAAGACAGAAAGTATAGGGCAGCACTATCTAACAGCACTTTCTTTGGTGATGGAAATTACATCTAATATGGAAGGTACTTGAAATATAACTAACGTGACTGAGAAATAAATTTAACATTTCATGATGTTCTAACAAACATTCATTTAAATAGCCACCTGTGGCTAGTGGCCACCATATGAGACTATGCCACCATATGCAATGGCCTGCCTTTACCTGGGATCTACTTTGTTTCTACAGTTGACTCTGCTTTCTCCCATTTCATCTATTTTTCTATCTCTACTGGATCATTTCCATCTCCTGTGCTAAAATATCATTTATCCATCCTTTTAAAAAGTGCAGCTCTGACCCTATCCCTCTGTGACTGTCCACCCCATTTCTTTGTTCCCTGTGTAGCGAAACTCAAGAATTATCTGTATCTGTGTTATCCTACACAGCAGCTACCCAACAAGCCAGATGTGGCCATTTAAATTTAAATTAATTAAAATTAAATAAAATGTAAAAGTCAGTGCCCTAGTTGCACTAGCCACATTTCAAGTGCTCAATAGTCACACGTGGCAAGCAACCTGTGTATTGAACAGAGACATCTCTATCCTCAAGGACAATTCTCTTGGGCAGTGCTGATAAACATTGGAGGGAGGGCCAAGAAAACACGTATGCTTGCTGGTAGTTTAGCAGATTTAGTCTGGAAGGGTAAGAAAGTTATCTTCTGTTAATTTCTTTTTTTCTCAGTGGGATAGAAGTAAGGTCATCGAGTAAGAGTGAGAAAGGAAGGTGGGGGATGTTGCAGGAAGGAAGAAAGGAGATGAGTAGGAAATAACTTTTCCAGAGCTCAGGAGAGTGAAGAATAAGGAAAATAAAGAGTAGAGTTTTCTCCAAGGCAAATTGGAATCATTATGTTTTATTTGACTTTCTTGCTTTTCTCAGTGTTGGTACTAAGAGGTAATCCTTAAATTTGGCCAGTGGAGGTGGGGATGGAAGCATGAGTCAATATTCCAGTTTCCCTTGTATTGACTTTAAATCAGACCAGGCTGAGAAATCTCATTGCCATGGCTGTGACCTTAACCTATACAGCAGGAAGGAAGGGGAGGTCCCTTCCTGGAGATGTTTTGCAGTGATAAGGTATGGGAACTTCCTCCCTTAAGGTTCTTTGAATTTTAAAAGGTAGAAACCAACACAATCAAACTTAAACAAGAAAAGGAGATGGACTATAATGATACAGGGGTATCTCCTGGAACCCATGGAAGGCAGCTTGGGACTTAAACTAGAGGGAGCCAGGAGGAATAGAAAGCTCCCAGAGACTCAGGCTGAATCATATTTCTCTCTCTCTTTCCTTCCTCCCCTATACTTATGGTTTCTTATCTCTGCTTCTGCACAAGAAGCATTTTTTTTTCCTTCTCTATAAAGATCAGCTTTCTTTACAGAATTCTCAGCACACTTGATGGTTGAGAGACAGTCAACCCCCATGATGGTTCTTATTACCTCAGAACAACAAAGCCTCTCAGATTAACAGGAACATCTCCGTCCCACTCTCAAATTTCTCATAGACTCTGATTAGGCAAACATAAGACAACTGCCCTACCCTGGTTCAAACAATACACCATGGGTACAGATACAACATCCCAGGTCCACTCCCAGACTGTGGGACAGTTCTCAGAACTTCTTGGCACCACCAACTGGGAAATCTTTCCTGTTCTGTTACCTTCCTGGGTCATACCTGATGTGGGCACTGGGCGTGTTGTCCCTCCATAGGACTACACAGCTTTCAAAGCCCATTTCCTGCCTGGAATTGAGGTTGGGAACTTGGGCTTTTAAGAACAGTTTTATGGTTTCTTTGGTGGTCCTGTACAACTCTCTCACAAATACAGTAGGCTCTGTCTATCTGCTTCCAGCCATTTCCTTGAGCAAGGAACCACATTCAGTGTTCTCTTTGAGGGATGACATTTTTTTTTTTTAAGATTTTATCTATTTGTCAAAGAGAGAGAGACAGAGAGCACAGCAGGGGGGAAGCAGCAGGCAGAGGGAGAAGTTTCCCCACTAAATGAGGAGACCAACAGGACTTGATCCCAGAACCATGAGATCATGACCTGAGCCAAAGACAGATGCAACGGAGAAGAGGCAGACAACGGAGCCCCCCAGGCATCCCTGAGGGACCTCTTATATAAGCTTTATTTCTTTGCTTTTTTGCCAACCCTCTTCAACTCATTTTGTTTATCTCTCTCTCTCTCTTTCAATGCTTTGCTAAACACAATCAGTAGCAACCACATATAATTTTTTGAAGATTTTATTTATTTATTTGACAGAGAGAGACATAGCGAGAGAAGGAACACAAGCAAGGGGGAGTGGGAGAGAGAGAAGCAGGCTTCCCACGGAGCAGGGAGCCCGATGCGGGGCTCGATCCCAGAACCCTGGGATCATCACCTGAGCCAAAGGCAGATGCTTAATGACTGAGCCACCCAAATGCCCCAGCAACCACATATAATCCTGAAGTTCTGTTTCCTGACATCTCCTCACTGAACTGTAAGTTTGGTAAATGAACCACCTTTAAGATAATCACAAGGAACACCTTTACCAAATGTTTTGCCTTCTTCCTGCCTCTAAAATCAGTTTTCTCATTGTTACTACCTGATTGCCAAGCCAATATTTGAAGTTTTTTTCCAGCAGCATATCACTTTTGGTATTAATTTTTATATTGGTCAGGATAGGAGGTATCTCTACATCTATACGTCTATACACACACACATATATGCAGTATACATACACACATATAAACAGTATATATACATATATATATACAGATTCACACACACATGGCAAGAATTTCAGTGACCTTGACACAATAAAGGTTATTTCAAGTGCACACCAGGTTTGATATGAGCCATGAAAGTCTCCAGGGAATCTATCTGTCTTTAACCATATCATTTCAACTGAGTGTTTCAGCAATTGGCCAACAGGGAAGAGATCACAGGAAAAATTCACATCGGTTTTTCTAAGCTTTGACCCCAAAGTGAGACACATCATTTCAGTTCAAAACCCATTGTCCATAATTAGTCTAATGGCCCCCATGTAACTACTGGGCGGGGGGGAGAAATCTGAGGGAGCACATGGGTAATTGTTGAACCATAAATATTTCTTCCACAGTCCATGGAGGCCTCGTGTTGAGAGAGCAAAGCTGTAAGATCAGATTAGCCTGGGCAGTGCAGTTGCTACTGAAATGGACCTTTATCCCAAAGACCAGCTGAACCACATTGGAATTTGTATGCGTGAGAAACAAAACATTGTTGAATTAATCTACTGAGATTTAAACATTTAATTATTCTTGCAGCATAGTCCATAGTATCCTGATTAATTTGGGAACATAAAAGAAGACAGGAGTAAACGGCACAACATAGCTTCATTTCCCTGAAGCAATTGTAATTCCAGCCCAAATGGCAGCAGAATTTTTTTTGAGAACCTGACAAAACGATACGAAGGGCGCTTGGAATAATAAAGGAGTGAAAATAGCCGGTACTACTATAAACAGAATAATGACGGGAGGGAGAACTAATTTCACCCACCGTTAAGACATTTGATAGGTAGAGAAATTACAGGAAACACAGAAAGACATTGCAGAGAAAGTACAGGAAATAACAAAATGTTAGTGGAGAACAGAGATCCCAGAAATAGACCTAAATACATTTGAGAATTTAGAATATAAATGATATTTTAAGTCCATGGAAGAATATGAATAATTCAGAAATGTTAGTGCCAGACAAGTCACTGGGTACCTCACTTCTTGGACTCAAGTCATTTCTAACTTAATAACTTAAAAATGTAAGACACGAAACTGTAGCAATACTAGAAAAATCATTGGTAATTTTTTCCCCCAGTTTTGAACAGGTGAAGGTCAAGAAACATATAATAGAAGATTGACAAAATTACATAACAATTAGCACTTTGGCAAGACAGAGAATACCATACACAAAATCAAGAGACAAACCACAGGATAGAAAAAAAAAAATGTTTGTAATTTATATAACAGGAAGGAGATGAGTTTCTTTAATACACAAACAGATCTAAAAATCAGCAAGAACAAAAAACAAACAATTTAATGAAAAAATAGGCAAAGGTAAACAGTGTACAGCCAAAAAAAGCAAATAGACAATAAACATGTGAAAAGATTTTTTCAGCTTTTTAATCAAAGAAACGTAAGATAAAATCAAATACAGTTTTTTAACTTAGTATATTCACAAAAATTAAATTTTGTTCACTCTCAAGGATATGGGAAATAGGAACTCTCACATATTGCTAATGGAATGCAAATTGCCACGACATCTTTGGAAAGCAATTTGACAAGAACTTTTAAAATTTTAAAAGTAAAATATATATATAAATATATAAATATATAAAAATTTTAGAAGCACATTTTCTTTAACTCAGCAATTTTCCTTCCAGGAATTTTTCCCACAGAAACACTTGCACAAGGAGGCAAATCCATATCGTACAGGGATGATATAGGGCATGGTAATACAGGACAATACAGGGCATGGTAATATTATCTGTAAGAGTAAAACAACAAGGCAAAATTTAAATGTCTATCAAGAGAGCATTAACTGAACTATAATAACTTGTGAAATCAATACTACCTAGCTGTTCAGAAGAATCAATACATTTATCCATAATGAAAAGAAAAATATCCAAGCTAAATTATTTTAAGTGAAAAAAATTGGGCAGAATACAGTATTATTATAAATGAAACTCCAAAGATCATGTATATTTATACACATACAAATTTCTGGGAAAAAAGAAATAATAGAGATGATTATGTTAAGCTGCAAGTACATTATATATGAGGGTGTGGGTAAAGAGATCGGCTTTTACATTTCATGTTTTATCCGTTTGTATTGTTAGACTTTTTTTTAATATTTTATTTAGAGAGGTGGGGGGCAGAGAGAGAGGGAGAGAGAATCTCAAGCAGGCTCCCAGCTGCGCCTGATGTGGGGCTCAATTTTACCACCTTGAGATCATGACCTGAGCTGAAATCAAGAGTCAGATGCTTAAACTGACTCAGACACCCAGGCATCCCTGTATTTTAAGAATTTTTTTAAATGTGTGCATGCAGTACTTTATGATAAGAAGACAAAAATTTAAACCATTAATTCTTCCATGGAAACATCAGTTCTGTATTTTTATCTGTCAATCTGGATCTAAAAAGATACTAGCAGATAGAAAGGGGAGAAAAAGAGGAGGAAGAGAAGAGGAAGAAGAAGAACCAAAGTTAGACATTCACAATATGGTATAAATGAGTAAACTGAGCTACCAATCATAATGAAAGAGGAGAGCCATTCAGACTCTAGGCTCTGTCAAGTCCTATTTCCACTGCAAGGAAAAAAAGAATCCCCAGGTATAATAGTAGTCTTTCTGTATCAATATTTCCAAAAAAAGAAATTTAATAATAACAGTAGTAGCTCATGTTTACTGAGCAGGAACTTTTCAGCATCTGCTGAAAGAAGTGGTGGCTGAGGAAAGCGCTGAGGGTCACCTCCCATACAGGTCGCAAGTGGCTGTCTGGCAAATCGTGGTGGCTCCTAACCATGGCTAGAACCGGTTCAGTGGCACGGCGGGTGGACTTAGAGGGTCCAGGACAGTGAATTGAGAGGGGGAGGACTGAGGGATGGGAGCCGGTGACTGTATGCAACCTTTTGAAGATGTCATGATGTTGAAAGGATGGAAAGATGGTCAAGGAAGTGGTTTTGCTTTGTTTTTAAGCCGCAAGCTCCCGAAGTTCTGTATGCTCATAGAGTTGGGGGGGGGTGTGTGGCACTTGCCAGAGTAAGGGCCTGCGAAGGTGACCTGGGGGAGGGGTCCAGGGCCAGGGGCTGGGTCATCAACCGTACCCACAGGGAGCCAGCATCCTGGGCAGAGGCAGCCACACAGCAGAGGTGATTACAGAACAATCTGGCAGCTTCTGTTTCCTCAGTGGAGTCTGGCAGAAAGGCATCAGCCAGAGTATCTGAGCAGAGCAGAAAGCAGGTGTTGGAGTGGAAGGGGAGAGAAGCTGTGAGAGGCTTCTTGGCAAAGCGGGACGGTGACCAACCAGGGGATGTGTGGGTGGGCCGCCTGGCACCGTGGAAAGCCCATCCACATTTGTGATCCTGAATTAAAGTGCCACCAGTTTCTGTGCTTCCCCGTTGTCACTTTGAGCTGCTCTCGCTAAGAGTAGAGGATGCCATGATCTGAGGGAACACCATTGGCCAGCAGCCATGCTGCGAACTAGGGAAAGTTTACTGTAGGAGTCACCCCGTCTTTCCCTGAGTCCTGTCCCGCCTTCCTTTTCCATAACAGAATCTAGTTTTGCTCAAGTGTTCACCCAGCTTATGAGAGTCACAGGAGTAGGAAACCGAGCTCATGTCCCACTCCAGGAAAGGATGTTGATAAATTAAACCAGTCAGCACTTACCATTTCTCTGACGATGGTTGTAAGTACTCCGGGGATGGGCAAGGGGCCCAGGTGGGGCCAGTCAGACGGAAGGGACGGACCTGATCCCATGGGTGGACTCCTCTTGCTTCTCTCTTTCTCCCGCTGAACCAGAAAAAGGAAACCTGATGCTCCAGGATTAGCCATGGTTGCAAGATGAAGCTGATGCCGCAAACAGCCCTGTGAGGAGATGGCAGTAACCTGGGGCCCCGGTGACATAGTTCAATCCCTGAATCACTCCCATCTTACTTCTAAACTTCCAGCTATTTGAGATAATAAATCTCCTTATTCCCTAAAAACCAGCTTATGTCTGGGTTTCTGTTACGTGCGGTGAAAGCATCTTCATGGACACAACTGTTTTTCTCTGTGTTTACCCTATATTAGACATCTTCCAATAGGTGGCTGATGCTTGCCTTGTGCTTACTTTAAACATACTGTCTGGCGGCAGAGATGTGTGTGTGCCCAGGAAGCGGGATTCGGGGTCAGCGGTGCACTTCTGCTCCAACGGTGTGGGGTTACCAAGAGACGTGCGTATGTTTGTCCACAAACTGGTTTGGCCAGTTGCACTTGTTTTTGTTATTATGCAAAGCAATGGAATATGAGTGAGGAAGTACATTGCATCAAAGCCAAACCGTTTGCTTCTAATAAACAGTAGAGGGAAAGTAGCTTTCCTGCTGGTGCAGATGGGACAAATGTAAAATAATTGGGATATTCTGTTTCTTCTAGAAGATTCTGAACTCAGATTGTTTCCCCGACTGTCTTTGAGTTGTTTCTCTAACTTTAAAGCTGTTCTTTTTTTCAAGTTTTTAGAAGTCTATCTAAGGGGCGCCTGGGTGGCTCTGTGGGTTAAGCCTCTGCCTTCGGCTTGGGTCATGATCTGAGGGTCCTGGGATCAAGACCTACATCGGGCTCTCTGCTCAGCAGGGAACCTGCTTCCCCCCCTTTCTCTCTCTCTCTCTCTCTTTCTCTCTCGGCCTGCCTCTCTGCCTACTTGTGATCTCTCTCTGTCAAATAAATAAATAAAATCTTTAAAAAAAAAAAAGTCTATCTAAAACTTCAATCCACTGTCACATACTTAACAAAGAGGCTTTGTCCCTTCAAGATATTGTTACATGAAGGTACATTTATATGTTTTACTTCAATAAAATGGTCACCTTGTTTTTCCTTTTTACTGTTTCCCCACTTGACCGGCCTATCTGCCTTAACGGATCCCTCTCCTAGCTGCCGGTCTGGGGGCTTCTGAGGACGGGTGTCCACCGCCCCCCTTCAGCCCCAGCTCCCCATATGCCTCCGTAGGTTTATCTTCTCCCCTCTCCACCTCATCAGCACCTGTTGTTACCAAGTTAGAATTACAAGACAAGGGCACCTTTCCTTTAGATAGAAGGTCTGGAAGGACCTATGCTAAAGTGTTACCTGCTATTATTCTCCTTTCTGCATGAAGAGATTATAGATTTTTTTTTCCTCATGCATGTGAATAATAAAGATGTGAATGGGTATTGACTAGTAATAAGAAAATAAAAGTAAAAGATTCCCCCCCCCCAAGAACGAAGAATGCCATGTCTTTTTATGAAAATTTACTCTTTATAAAGAACTTTTCAGTTCATCCTACCGGTGGCACTTCAGAATGACTAGATGAAGAAACCATTTACTCAAACGTAAAGAGGAGGAAACCTAGATGGGGAGGGGACTATCTGGCTTCCCGTGACAAAGTGAGGAAGGTATAGACCCTGTTCAGATGCCAAAGTCCATGATGCCTGCTTCAAATGGTTTTTGTAGCCCTCAATGTTACTAAAGCTTTCATGAAAATAGACCGATCCCAGCTAAATATGCTTCCCGTGCCAGGATGGAGAGCTATATTTACTTGGCGAAAACAGAGCAATGTAAACAAATGCAGTTACAAGTGCTGGAAGCCCAGATCCCAAAAGGAGGCAGGAGGAGAAGGAAGGGCTGCCCAGCACATGGGGCGGCTCCATACGGCGTCAGGGTCACATGGGAGATAGCTTTCATCTTTCTTGTCCAACTCCCACTTAAGAATACAAGATAAACTCTGCTGGTCTCTCCGGGAAAACGGAGGCCCATTGCTTAACCTCTCTGGGCTTTGGCCTTGTGTTCTATAACCTGGGATTGGTATTACTAAATGCCTAAATACTTTGTCAGGGTTCAAATGTAATGTGTGTAAAGCGGTTACGAGTGGCATTTGGTGGAGTTTACCTTCATCGCCGTCATCATCGTCATCAGTACTACTAGAGCTAATGCTACATTACTGGTACTACTACAGAAGTAACCACAGCATTACTGTTTTCATAAACACTGAAGGACTTGGCTGGTGCCACCTGGTTGATGGGCCTTAGACCCAGAAACTTATGCATCAGAACAGCATTCTCTCTAAGGAATTGTCGGAGTGGTTAGGACTCACCTCTGCTTCTCTTGGATCTCTTCATTCCCAGGTGGAGTATTTAGCCACTCAAAGTTTTTTGGGCCTCCTCTTTATCACTTCCAGGAGCTATCACCTCCACCGGAGCCCCCTGAGCTCTCTGAGGATGGGAAACCTAGTCCTTTGTGGAGGAATGACACCTTTGCTCAGTTCTTTTCCATTTTGGTGGTTCATTTTGACTTCCCAATGCTGTCACCACATGTAGACCCACAGGAACTGGCAGAGCAGGGTTTCATTCACAGCTGGCCTGAGCAGCCCCAGTGTGAGCCCTCAGGCTCAATGAGCCCCATGAGCTCAGGTCTGCCCTGTCTGCCCATGATCCTTCCACCCATTGGACCACACCCGCCCACATGATGACATGATGATTGTTGGCTAAGTATTTCCCATCCCACTCATAGCCCAACCTTGTAAGAAGTTACAACTACTCCATGTTACCATTGAAACAACCAAATAGTCTTTGAAGGCAAACACTGAAGAAAACCTTAGGGGTTAACCCAACCCAACCCCTTCTTTTTTCAGATAAAGATGTTGAGGGTCTGAGAGTTTCAGTGGCTGGTGCAGTGATGACAGCAAGGGTGGCCTGACCAGAGATGGCACTGAGCCCTTCCCATCTAGCATCTCATTCTGTGCTCATAACAATCTCACAAGGCAGGACACAGCCGATGAGGAAACAGGGCCAGGAGTCACATGCAGCTTTTCTGATGTGAGCACAGTGCTGGTTCCACGTCCCAGCATGGCTACCCAAGGTGTGGTCCTCTAGTCTTGATGCCAGGGCCGTCCACATGGGGCCCCTGCTCTGGGGTTGGGGGAGTGAAGGGGAAAAAACGGACAAAGGCTGCCCCCAGGCTGGAAGGGCACAGGCTGGTGACACACAGGAAACCGCAGTCTGCTTCACCCCTGCAGAACATCTGTAACTATGATCACCCAAGCAGGTCAAAGGTGTGGGCACCATGTTCTCTTCTAAAAGAGAATCAGCACTTTCCCCTGCCTCTTACCAAGGTAATCCATCCTCATTATAGAAACTTAGGAAAATAGACAATAACACAAAGGGAAAAGAAAAAAGTATAACCCCACCCCTCTGAAAGGAGTTTTGTTCTAGAGGTCTCCAGATACTAAACTCCACTCTTTTGAAAGTGAAGAGGAAGAAGAGAGGGTGGGGTCACTGCACTCTCCTTCTGTTGTTTTTTTTTGGGGGGCGGGGGGTTTCTTCTTTTCACTTCCCTGTAGTGCAGCGAAGCTTTACAGACTTTGAGTCAGAAGTAGAGTTCAAATAGTTTTAACTCTGGCTCTTTGACTTGGCACTAGTGTCCTACTTCTTTTTTTAAATTTTTATGTTAAATTGTGGTAAAATACAAATAATGTAAAATGTACTCTTTACCATTTTAAAGTTTAGTAATGTTAAGTTTAGTAACGTTAAGTATATTCATATGGTTGTACTGCCAATCTCCAGAACATTTTCATCTTACAAACCTGAAACTCCATATCCGTTAAATGATAACTCCCCATTTACCCCTCACCCCCACCCACAACCCCTGGCAACCATCATCTACCTTCTGTTTTTTGAACTGGGCTACTCTAGACATCTCATACACATGGATCCGTACAACATTTGTCCCTTTGTGATTGGTTTATTTCACTCAGCATAATGTCTTCAAGGTCCATCCCTGCTGTAGAATGTGTCAGAGTTCCTTTTCTGTTGTACAGCTGAAGAGTATTCTAGCGTATGTATGGACCATGTGTTATTTATCCGTTCATCCCCTGACAGTCATTTAGGTCAGTTCCATCCTTTGGTTATTGTGAATCATGCTGCCGTGAACACAAGTGGACAAATAACTCTCAGAGACCCTACTTGTCCATGCTTTAACTTCTTGAGTTTCCCTCTTCCGTGCTATCAAATGGGGTGGAGAGGAACACCTGCCTTGCTCCTCTGCAGGGAGCATGTTAGGCAAGCAGTAAAGGGCCACCAGCAGCTGGAACACAGACTGGCCCTCACTGGAACCACTGGGCAGGACAGAGAGGGCCTGGGGAGAAGAGGAAGACTCCAGCATGAACAGCTACCCTTGTCCCCACCCAGTGAGTCCCCCATACTGGCTTTCCGAGCTTTGGCTCTCTCCTCTTGTCTTTGGTTTGCTTGTCTGCTTTCTCCCTGAAGCTCGTTTTTGCTTCCTCTGCCTGGAACACATCTCTCCCTTCGCAGGACCTCCTTAAGCAAGGGTCCTGCCTCCAGAGTGCCTCCGTGAGAATTCAGGCATGTTTTGTTTCACAGCGTAAAGTGAAGCCATCTCCACCTGAGCAATAAAAATCAGATGATCTCATGGCCCAACAATTTCTATACTGTAAATTTCAAAGCTTTAGAAAGATCCTCCTTCCAGGTATAGGGCTATCAGTTTCTACTTCAGGAGGATGAACCCAACCATGGTGGCCCGGGGAGACATGTCGCTAAGGTGTCCTGTTTCTGTCCAGCACTGACTACTAGGAGACTCGGGTCTGCCATTCCCCCAGCTCTACACTTTCATAGACCTGTGACACCCTCCCTCCTCCACTCCCCCACACTGCCCTGTTTCCTCCGGGTGGAAGCAGGTGATTGCACAGACCACGTTCATGCATACTGCCTCTCTCATTCTTGCATTCCCACGAAGGGGGCACACGGGGGTCAGTGCATCTATTTCATACAAAGAAGTAGGAGGTCAGAGATCCAGCCAGGATGTAGAAGAGCCCAGACTGACTCGTTTTCTGTCTCCTGCTCCTGGGAGCCATACACTCCACCACAGGGAGAAGCGATGGGCTGGTGAGCTGGGGGTCACATCGGGGAGCTCCCAAGTCAGAGAGGTAGAGGGGATCGGAATGTCTCAGTCTTTTCAGTCACTCACGATAAAACATACATAGACAGACAGAAATTATAGTGTATGCATATGTGTGCATGAGAAGAGAAAGAAGCAGGCATTTAAAATGTGAGGAAAAAAGATGAATCGGCAATGCCTGATCAATTATAGACCAGGACTGTCAAGAAAATCCTGGAGTTCATTAAATTGTAGGCGTCCCTACTTTAAAGTATCTCTTACAAATTTATAATCCAGACTTTGTCAACACACTTAAACTCTTAGCAAAAGAGAACATTGACCTGTTGGAAAAAATCTGTCATCTGACTAGAGGATGCAGCATAGCCATTAGGCAGAGGAAAGGATAATTATGGTAGCTCTGAGGAAAGTGACCTTTTAGGAATCCCTCTGGAACTGTAAGGATGCAGAAGGATTTAGCCACACCCCTAAGGTGCCTGCTGCTGTTTTTTCTATTCTGCTCCATTCACTACTACTAACCTCGCACACGTGCCACTACACAGTAACCTAATCAAAGCCTTTGTGCTAGTTTATTAAAATACTTACATAGGAACTAGAGGGTATTATACTGAGTGAAATAAGTCAGAGAAGGACAATTATCCTACGGAGCTCACTCATAAGTAGGATTTAAGAAACAAAACAGAGGAGCACAGGGGAAAGGAAGGAAAAGTAAAAGAAGATGAAAACAGAGAGGGAGAAAAACCACAACAAATTCTTAACTCTAGGAGACAAACTGAGGGTTGCTGGAGGGGTGGCGGTGGGGGATGGGGTAACGGGGTGATGGGCATTAAGGAGGGCACTTGTGATGAGCACTGGGTGTTATATGCAACCAATGAATGCCTGATTTCCACCCTTAAGCTAATAAAAAAATACTTATATAATTCTTCACTATCTGTTTAGATCCTTCTGCCACAGCTTTTATGCTGAGGCAGTGAATTGTCTGTTTTCATATAACACAAAAGCATCATTTTCCTTCTTTAATTGCTCCTGTGGAATGACAAGGCTAACACCCTCACCAAAGGGTAACCTCTATAGATTCCTTTGTCTTCAGACAAAGTGCTGTCCAGATTTAAGGAAGATGACATCCCCGCAGTTTCCTTTGAGCATGACTCAGGGTTTCTCTAGCTTATCTCAATCTCCAGTTGATTAGAACATTTGCCGGTCACACAGCATGCTTCGTGAGTGGTCCCTGTTCAGATGAAGTGAAACTTCCAAATTAAGTGCATGGTTCTGCCTGAGAAATCACCAGGGCCTGCTGGATGCTGTGAAATGAGCTGTGGATGTGCCTCTGAAGTCTGGAGCAATGTCTGCCTCAAGGCCAGAGGAAGTCTAGACAGGTGGCCCCACGGGGATGCTTGGCAATGTTCGGAGACATTCTGGGTTGCCGCAGCTGGGAGACAGAGGTGCTACTGCACCGAGTGGGTAGAGGCCTGGGATGGCCCTAAATGTCCCACAACACCTGGGGCAGCCTCTCACAACAAAGACTCATCCAACCTACACGTTTTTCTGCTGGGGTTCAGGAACAAAGTCCCACAGGCCGACTGCCTCAGACAACACCACCATGCTGTCTCACAGTTCCCGCGTCTGTGTTAGCTCCTTTGAAGGGCTGTGAGGGAAGCATCTGTTCCATGCCCCTCTCCAGGGCTTGCAGATGTCTGTCTTCCTGTGTCTCTTCACATTGTCTTCCCTGTGTATATCTCGGTGTTTCAGTGTCCCCTTTTTGTGACGTTACCAGTCATACTGGGCTGGTGGACCTTCATGACCTAATTCCAACCTGGTTACCTCTGTCAAGAGCCTCTCTCTCTAAATAAGGTTCCCTTCTGAGGTACTAAGGGTCAGAACGTCAGCATCTGAATTTGGAGAGGGACACAAGTCAACCCATAATACTACCTAAAAAGTCCATAATGCTGGGCGCTTGGGTGGCTCAGTGGGTTAAAGCCTCTGCCTTCAGCTCAGGTCATGATTTCGGGGTCCTGGGATTGAGCCCCGCATCGGGCTCTCTGCTCAACGGGGAGCCTGCTTCCTCCTCTCTCTCTGCCTACCTCTCTGCCTACTTGTGATCTCTGTCTGTCAAATAAATAAATAAATAAAATCTTAAAAAAAAAAAAAAAAGTCCGTAATGCTGAGTTTGAGACCTTCTTGCCAAATGACCACTTACCTTCGCTTCCTTCTTTTCTTGTCGTCCTTGATTGGGCTGAATGTTTGGAATAACATTTACCTGGAAAGACACCAGGAGTTCTCACTTATCATCAGGAGATGATCACCAAGCCCCTTAGGGATGGCTCCCTAGAAAGATCTCTCCGATCAGGTAAAAATTCTACTTCCACGCCCCATCTAGCACCAAATACACCCCTTTATTTTGTGCCTGTTGTCCATTTCCTCTGATTTCCTCTAGGGGTTCTTCCCTTTCGAAA